GTGCCGGAGTTACTATGAGGCTGGAGTAACAGTGTGGGCTGGTGCAGAGTCGTGCAAGCAGACCCAGATAACAGAGACGATGGGCCAGAAACAGAACCACATCACGGGGCTTGGTGTTCAACAGAAGCTGCACTGGAGACTGCAAGAGAGAAAACGAATGAGGTAGCAAATCCTCATCTACATGCACAAAGATGAAATCACATCTCTGCTACAAACCAAACACAGCGACACATCTCTTAGGAATGGAAGAGGAACATGCAAATGAAGGAAGTCAAAAACGTGATCATTTGAGAAGAAGATATAGGAGACTCTCCTTATGAATTCTAGTGATGGATTTTATTTCTTTCATAAGATTCATTTGAAAAGATCAAACACGAAGAAAAAGACTGATAAATTCTACATTAAAAAACAAGAACTTCTGTTCTTTGGGAGATACCATAAAGAGAGTAAAAAGACAAACCATAAACTGAGAAGAGATATTTGCAACAAATGTAATTGACAAAGATTTAGTAGCCAGAACACAGAAAGACCTCCTATGAATCATTAAGCAAAAGTTAAGCAACTAAATTTAAAGCTGGGCAAAAGACATGAATATAAATTTCATAGAGGGAATCTATAACCCATGAACAGATAAAAAGATGTGCAACCTTGTTAGTATTCAAGAAATGCAAATTGAAATCACAGCGAGACTTCATTTCATACCTACCAGCTTGGCAAAGTTAATAGAGGGTTTCCCCACCAAACATTTGTGAGAAGGTGCAGAAACAGAACAGGACTCTGGAGGAGTCCTGTAGGTGAAGAGGGAACGATGTGGTTAGAGCAGCACCATTTGACCACCCCTTTGGAACTTCTTCATCTCAGCGTTGGACATCAGTGGCTGCCAACGTTCTGAACAGAGAACAGCCAGGCATTCCATGCCCTGAGCTGAGAAGCACATTGCTGCTGATGGAGCAGTCTTGCTAAAATATCAAACCTGAATCTAGTCCATTCCCGGATGGACTTCAATCCCGCCGAGCTGTAACCAGTGGAATTCAGATGATTAAAAATTATACCAGGAAAGTGACCCGGTTTCCTTAGTGGATAGATTACCAGAAAGAAAGAGAGAGTGAGAAGAGGGCACTTTTCAATTCAAGAGACATATCAGCCAGTTGGAAAGTGTGGACCTCATGGAGATCCTGACTCAAACAAACAGACTAAAAAGTCACAGGAGCACTATCTACTGCCACTCTTCACAAGTATTTTAGAAAATAAATTTACTTATTCCTGCTAAGCTTCAGTCTTCCCACCTATGTACTGGGGTAAACATAGCTTTCTCATATGGTTTTAACTGGGATTAAGTGAAATGATGTTTCTAAAGCATTTAACACAATGCCCAGTGCATTATAAGGATCAACAAGTGTTAATTATTTTTTTATTATTATAATTTTCTTTTTTTGAGATTTTTGCTATTGGGCATGTGTGCTTGCCAGGGAGACAGAGAGTGACAGAGACAGAAAGTGAGAAATCACTTTCCAGGGAGGATGGCCAAGTTGCAATTCCTTTTTCATTCTCCTCTCAGAATTTTGGGCATTCTTGCTCATGCGCCTAGCACGACTTTCAAACTGCTGTGTCCAGGACTCAAACCACAGTTGAGCAGAGTCAACTGCCTTAACCATTGTGAGAGTCCAGAGCCTTAGCCATTGTGCCTCCTGCTGGCCCCTTTATTATTGTTGCACCGAAAGTGCTGTCAGAACCTCGATGAGCAGTCTGATATCTAAATGCCATATTCAGAATTGGAAACAGAAACATCATCAGGCAGCCAAGATGAAAGCTGAACAGAGGGGCGGTCAGGGTTGGTGGTATAGGAGGGAGAGAAGTTTGTAGAGAAGTGAGGCTGAAGAACACCGTCCAGAGCACTTGAGTTCCTCACACTTCCATCCAGGCTCAGGGCCTCTGCAGTGGGGTTGCCGAGAGGAAGCAGCCAGCCGCGGACACGACCCACACGAGCTGCAGCACACTTCCTGTCAAAGCTGGAGTTCTCCTGAGGCCCCCACTCATGCCCGGCTCTGTGGATACTAGCTGAGGGCTCCGTTCCCAACCCCAATCCATCGTCATGATCTATGTTGCTCAGGATGACACAGCAAGGAAGGATTTGCGTAAAACTTAAAGCCAGGAAACAGGTTAGGATTCTGTTCAAATATGAAACTAGACATGGAAAATTACCGATGATAACATGTATGACTAAGCCACTATGCAGTGTATTCTGGATGGGAAATCACATTTTGTATGCTGTGACGATGCTCAAGGAATGAGTGTAAAATTAATTAATTAAAAAAAAAAGAAGTAGCAAGGAAGGAAGCAGAGACTCGCACACAAGGACAAACTGCTTCCTGTGCAAAACTGCCAGAAATGCTCCTGGGAAGGAAGACCCGCACTGCAGTGTGTGGAAGAAAGCTCGTGTCGTTCCCTTATCCTGCCTCTCTGCTGATCAATGGGTCCTGAATGTTAGATCAGATGAAAAGTGCCAGGTGAAGTCTACGAATCTAACTGCTGCAACAGGAGGGGAAAAGGACATGCTATTTAATCCTCTAAAGAGCCTTGCGAATAGAATAATATCATTACTACCATCTTTGGTCAATAACTTGGGGATTTAAAAAGTTAAACATCTTCTAAGGTCACTTAGCCAGAATGGGGCTGAACTAGGACTCAGACTCAGTCAGCAGAATATTTACCTGTTACTGAGTTAAAAACAGCCTTAAAATTGGAAGGAGTTCTGGGGTTTTCATGAATAAAGAAGCAAAATCTTACTCACTAGTTAAACTAGATAGATATTCCCCGGTGTTTGTCCTCTCTTTCTTGTGAAGGTATGGCTTTAAGTCCATAGTAAAGAATATGTGAGGGCAAAGAAATGGTTACAACCAAATTCCAGCTGTTCCTGTCTGAAGTGCTCCACCCGCAGACTGCTCCTTTATTTAAAACCCTCCCATCACCAGTACTTTCACGTGGCTTTGTGATAGGCCCTTGAACTCTCGCATTGGTTTTCCCACTCAGTTGCTTAGGAGAGGAAGAGAAATCTCAGTGAAGACAGCATCAGTTATACAATGAATTTTTTCTTGTTCTTACAATTCGCTGTTATCATTATGGAAATTGTATTATCTAGAGACTGTAGAAAATTTTCTTTTCTGTTTGTTTCAAAAACACATTGCGTTTAGAGATGTCAAGTTGTATTTGAAACTTGATTTTGAGCTACAGTGGAGGTAGGTAGCTGGAAGGGGTGGACCGAAGACAGACTAGTGTTCAGAAATGCGGAGATAATTATGCTGTGTAGCTAAGACTCTTCGCGTCAAGATGAGTCAGTTTCCTTCCATCGTCAAGAGAGATTTACCAAGCCCAGCTGCAGGTAGAATGTGGATATTTCAGGCATTTCTTCTCGTTGTCTTTTTCTTAGAAGACCATCAAAATATCAAGAGATCTTTTTCTGTTTTGTTTTGGGCTATCCATATTACTGAGTATGTGAGAGAAAAACCTTAGAATCATAGAATGAGAATTAGAGAAGATCATTTAAATGCAAGAAAAGCTCCTCTAACGTGCTTCTCAAAATTCATGAATCCCTTCTTAAAAACACACTTTAAAGGTTTATTTATTTATTTCTTCCATGAGAAAAAGAGACAGAGAGAGAAAGCAAGCAAGAAGTGTTCCGAATAGAGTATTCATGCCAAGACCCACCTCAAGCCTCAGCCAGCCAGAACTGAAGGCACACACTTGTGCAGAGTGTATGTATAGTGTGTATAGGGAGATCTCTGGACAGGAGCCCAGAGCTTTCCCATCTGGTTTAGCATCATGGAGTGCTGTGTTGCTGCTGCAACACGGGAGTTGGCCTTAATGTACTGATTGTGTGGGGACCAGCAGATGGCATAATGATTACGTCGCTGGACTCCCATGTAGTTGACATGGTTCAAGTCCTGGACCCAGTAGCTTAAAACATATGCTGGGCATGTGTGTTTGCATGCTTAAAAATCCCCAAAGGATCCTCCAGTCAGAGGACAAGGGACTGTGGCATAGCCACCCCCCCTGGGGGGTGATTTCTCACTTTCTGTCTCTCTGTTTCTCTCTTTCTCTGCACATACACTATAGCAAAAGTCTTTCTCTCAAAAAAATACCATTTTATATTGAGTTTTATATGTCTTGATGCTACCTATTGAGTAATCTTTTAGAGACTGTTTCAAAGAATTGACCTAGACTGGTCCTCACCTTCTGACATGATTGAGATTTGTCATAGATGTTCAGAAATAGTTTAAACATATTAAACTATGATACATTGTGGTTGAGTTTATAAGAATGACCTACCTGTGGGAATGAGGTAGATTTTAATTCTATCATTATCATTAAATATCTTTAATGCCCAGATAGTTATCACTTCTGCTAAAAAAAACCCCTGTAGAACTTTTCACAAAATAATATGAGTCACAGAATTCCAGTTCTCAGGGTTGGCCTTATTGCACAGTAGTTGGGCACAGTGCATTATGAGCCAAATTTCGTATAGCTGGTTGTGGTTTGACTCTCAGTCTTTGTAACTTGAAAGAGGCACTGGGTCTCACATCCTGATGGGATAGAGAGGAGGAGGAGAAGAGATTGCAGCATGACCATACCACACTGGGGGGTATTTCTCTCTCAGGCAAGTGCACATGTCCTATGGCAATTAATTAAAAAAAAAGAAACCCATATTTTCCATAGCAACTACAAGTATCATTGGACCTTCTGCGCTGTGAGACTTGGCGTCCTCTCCACTGACACTGCAGCCCAGACCAACTACAGAATGCCTCGATTATGGACATCAGTAAACAGTTCTATTGTTGATAGAGCACACACCCTAGTATTGGAGTCTTTTCACACTGATGGGGAGTATAAGGCAGAGTGCCTTGACTCCCACTTTGAGGAGATACCTTGACTGGACCACTGGGCTTTTGGAAAACTCACTGAGTGGAATATTTTTGGAGTTTATTTCCTATCCTCTGTCACAGGTGTGTCTTACAAGTGCTCCTGCTGTAACCTGTAACCTGGTTACATCCGTGTGATGTCATCAATGGAGTGGTCCAGCTCGATGTTCTGTGAGACATTGCGACAACCAACAAAATCACAGGAAAAGCTCAGATCATTGATACAGTCTTGAAACAAGAGTGAAATTGTACTCTTGACTGTCAAGTAAAAGTAAGTCACACCTGCAACTTCCTCTTTATGCTTCAGAAAATAAAGCATTTTCCAGATCAGCACCATGCACCAGGTGATTCAATAAGTATTTATTTGCTTCAGTAAAGAGACTACATATGGAACAACAGCTTAATTTTCTGATTAAGTTTGTGATAATTTACTGTTTTTCTTTAGAACCCACCTGCCTTTTGCATTGACCAAACCAGAATTAAATGAGAGTGCTAAGAGTCAAGTTCTTGATGGTGGTCCTACTCTCCATGTTTCTCTAGGCCCCCAATTCCCCCCAAACCAAAAATTAAAGAGCAATTCAGTGGTTTCAATAGTGAGAAATTATGGGCTGTTCTTGCTACCATTCTATCTAGTGTGTACAAGCCCTGAATTGAGTGGGATTTGGATTTTTCTTCATTTCAAATTCCAGGAGTGTGATTATTTCACTGAATTGACTATGATTCTAATATTTAAAAACACCACACTACAAGTTTTACACAATGTCACACCCAAATATAAGCTAATGCTTTCTGGTGGTCAACTAAGGAATTAGCAATCTTTCAAATCACCTGTTGAACTTATTGAGAAATAGCATGTCAGGGCAATTTCTGAGGTGTTTTCTTGGGTAAATTTGGATATGTGCATTTCTCTCCTGATAGGCTGACATCAGATACTAATTCCCATATAGGAGAGAAATGCCACTGTGGTTGAGTGAATAAGATCATCCAGGGAAAAAGAGCACTGGAAGAAAATAGAACCTTAATGAGAAATCCTTGAGGCATTTTAAACTCCTCAGCCAGACAGAGAAGTATGGAAAGTGGACATGATGGAATAACCAGAGAGGCAGAAGGAGAACCAGGCAAGTAATGTGCCTTGGAAGTCAAGAAAATGTTCTGAAGGATTGGTACAAATGTGTGCTTCCATAACTGGGACATAGGAAATATTCTGGGGGAGGAGCCTCTTGAAATTAAAAAAAGTGGAGCCTTCATTAAGAAAAGATCTTATTATATAGTTGGACGCTCAAGAAGTAAGAACATCTTCAAGGATGGAAAGTCAAAAAAATAGGGACCAGCAGTTAGCGTAATGACTATGTCACTGAACTCCCGTGTAGTCGACCGCAGTTTGAGTCCCTGACCCGGTGGCTTAAACTCACGCCAGACGCATGTGCGTGCATGCCCAAGATCCCAAGAGGAGAATGGAGAAGGGATTGCGGCATGGCCACCCCCCCTCGGGGGGTGATTTCTCGCTTTCCGTCTCTCTGTCTGTCTCTGTCTTTCTGGTGAGCATGTGTGCTCTATAGCAAAAAAACCTCTCAACAACAAAAAAAAAAGTAAAAAAAAATAAGGAAATAATTTAAGCTGAAACAAAAATAGTGAACAACAAACACATTTAAAGAGATCTCTTACAGGGCTTTTACACAACCTGTACTTGATTTTCCTCTGTGGTCCTGTTCTGAGAGTACATAAACATACCTTACAACTATAGAAAATGCTCTTTTTGGGGGTGGGGAGATTTTTGCTATAGGGTGCGTGCGCTCGCCAGACAGACAGAGAGAGACATAGAGACAGAAAGTGAGAAATCACCCCCCAGGGGGGATGGTCATGCCGCAATCCCTTCTCCTCCATTCTCCTCTCGGGATCTTGGGCACGCACGGACACATGCCTGGCGTGAATTTTAAGCCACCGGGTCCAGGACGCAAACCACGGTCCACTACGTGGGAGTCCAGCAACATAGCCATTACACTAATTGCTGGTTCCCTAGAAAATGCTTTGAGAAAATGACAAAGACAAAAAGGTGAAGTACGGTGAATTCAAATTTGTTTTTGCTGCTTAAGCCAAGACTCCTACCTCCTCCTTCCCTTGGACACCAGTGCTCTTGGTTCTTGAGATTTCAAGCTCAGGTTGTGCTGTACATCACTGGCACTCTGATTTCTAGGCCATTGGACTTGTGCTAAATTATGTCATCAGCTTTCCTGGTTCTCCATTTTGCAGATGGCATATTTTGAGACTCTTTGGCTTCTATAAGTGTGTGAACTAATTCCTATAATTGTGGAGAGTGGCCAGTCTGAGCAAACATTGTGATCTTTAGACACATGCAGAAATGCAGTTCTGTAAACAGTCATTTGCAGGGTGATGAAAGCAATTAACATGTGAATACGCTAGTTGTCTGTTGTTACTGATACTAAAGCAGTATCTGGCTAAACGAAGTCACATATGTTTATCAAAATTGGCTCAAAAAGAGAAACTACATTGGTGCCAGTTGTCTTCACATCTTCAGCCAATTAACATCTGAAAACAACTGACTTTGCATTCCACTCCCTCTTCCCCCATTTTCTGTCCTTTAAAAGAATAAACCTGGTACTGGTTTGGGGTCACAGCTATCTCCATCAGAGAAATTGGGCTGACTCAATCCTTGCTTTTTGATATTTGTATGTCTGTGTGTTTATTTTTTATGTTTATTTCTAATTCACAGACGCCCCCCACCCCCCGAAAATGCATTCTGCTGAGCGAGTCCTGGCATATAATAAATACCTGTTTGTGTGTATGTGTGTGTGTGTGTGTGTGTGCATGTGCATGTATGTGCATGTGCAATATCCTGTTGGTTCTGTTTCTCTAGAGTCTTTACTAATATAATCATTACAAGCTCACAAATCATCCTGAGGGAGAGACTCAATAGACTTAATCTCTCAAGGATTTTAGATGATGAAGCTGTTATCTATAGTATCTGTTTCCTACACTATGTGTATTAATTTTCTATTGCTGCTGTAACATATTACCATGAATTTAATGAGTTAAAACACAAATGTCTTCATCTGCTATTACTTTGCTAATAGAAATACCAGAAACTGGGAAAATTTAAGAGAATAGAGGTTTATTTGACTCTATTCTGAGCCACTTCTAGTGGCTCAGAAGTTCAAAGGCATTGCAAAATGGCAGAGGGTTTCTGCATGGCTGACAAAACACAGGGTATGGCAGGTGTTTGTAATGAGACATAGCTATAGGCAGCTCTCTCTTTTATAACCAGTTCTCTTGAGAACTAGAACTCACCGGATATAATGAGACATCTTTATTCTATTCACAAGAGTGTTGCCTCCATGATGCTATCATCATGCTCCAATCATCACCTATTATTCCTCACCACTTCCCATCATAAAACTCCAAATATGAAACTTTGGGGGGACAAACCATCATCTGAACTATAACAGTGAATCACAACAATACATAGGAATAATAATGTAATTTTTGAAAAAGAAAATGAAAATAGGGCATAATTGTCAACTAAAATAGAAAAGAAAACTTAAGCAGCAGGCCAAAATAACAAAATAGATGCAGTTGAAGAGAGAATTATTGAAATGGAAGACAGACCCAAAGAATGTTTCAGAATGCCACAGAGAAAGTTGAATTAGAAAATCTGAGAAGTGGTACCAGTAGATGGCACAGTGGTTATGTTTCTAGACTCCACATGGCCTACTGTGGTTTGGGTTCCAGACCTGGTGGCTTGAAAATCACACCAGGCATCTGTGTATGCCTAAGATCCCAGGAGAAGAATGGAAAAGAAGGGATTGTGGTGTGGCCAGTCCTCCTGGGGAGTGATTTTTCACTTTCCCTCTCACTGTATCTGTTTCTCTCTCTCTTTGGTGAACATAGAGGCTATAAGGCAAGAATGAACAAACAAACAAACAACCCAAAACCAAAAAAAAGAAAAAAAGAAAAAAAAAACCTCAAAAACAAAATCAAAGACAAAAAAAGGAAAAAACAAAACAAAAACTTCTAAAAAAAAAAAGAAGGAAAATTTGAGAAGTTAATATGCATGGAGAATGAAACAATGTTTAACATACTTCTTATTAAAGCCCTAGGAAGAGAAAATAAAAATGCAGAGAAAAAGCAAAAGTTGAAAGCATAATGCTTGAGAATTTCCCAGAACTGATGAAATATAGAAAGGTACAGACCCAGGAAGGATTTTATCTACCAAGAAGAATAAAGTGAAAAAAAAAAAATCCATACTTGAGCCAGCAGGTGGCATGGAGGTTAAGGTGCTGGATCACACATGGCTAGCTTCACAATTTGCAATTTGAATCCTGAACTCGAGAATCACACTGGCATATGTGTGCATACTCAAAATCCCAAGAGGTGAATAGAGGTGAAGAAATTGCAGTGAAGTCATCCCCGTCGGGGGTTATTTTTCACTTTCTCTCTCTTTGGCAAGCACGTGTGCCCTGCAGCAAAAACTGGAAAAAAATTCCATACTTAATTATAAGATTAAGCAACTGTAGAACATTAATGAGAAAGAGATTTAAGGAGTAGCTGGTAGAAAGGACAAATTATTTCACTCTTCTCCACACTGAAAGACTGAGAACAGTTTTTTTTTTTTCCTGACAGAAAAAAAGAAGGCAAAATAATTGCATATATTAATATAATATAATACAATATAATATATACCAAATTCAGATAGAAAAAAGTTAATCTTGAATTGTACTATCTCAATCATCAGAGTAACGGGAACCAGCAGTTAGCGTAATGGCTATGTCGCTGGACTCCCACGTAGTCGACCACGGTTCGCGTCCCGGACCCGGTGGCTTAAAACTCATGCCGGGCGCGTGTGCGTGCGTGCCCAAGATCTCAAGAGGAGAATGGAGAAGGGTTTGTGGTGTGACCATCCCCCCTTGGGGCGCTTTCTTGCTTTCTGTCTCTATGTCTCTCTCTGTCCGTCTGGCGAGCGCACGCGCCCTATAGCGAAAACCTCTCAAAAAAAAATAAAAAAAGAATCAGAGTAATACAAAGATATTTGCTTATACATAAATTTTGATTACATATTGAGTGTTAATCACAAATAGACCTACATTAAAGAAACTTCTAAAAGATATATTTCAAGGACAAGTGAGATTATTTTGAAGGGAAATTTGACATGCAAAGTGTAACTTTGAGCAAGTACATGGTTAAACATATAATAAGTAAACAATATCTATGCAATAATAATGAGTAACTTATTACAGCTAATAAACAAAGTATTGGAGGTCAGACATGGCAGTGCAGTAGTAACATGATGCTGAGACCACATGGGAGGGTCTGAGGTTCAAGTCCTGCGACCTCCCTTGCTTTCCTGTACACACACATGCCCATGATGCTGGTGACTGGCAAGGGCTGGATTGCAGTGTGAAGGCACTGTTAGGGATGTTTCTCTCTCTCTATCTCTCTTTCTCTCTCTTACTACCTTCCTCTCATGGAAGAAATAAACTTAAACAAATACTGGAGAGCAACAGCAGGTAAGCTAGAATTGAAATGATCAGGCTAAAAGTGTTCTAAGAGTTCTTGAAAGGGAAGGAAAAACTGTTCAGATCTATTATATATACTCACTAAATTTTAAGGTACTTCTGAAACAATTGAGTTAGAGTGCACATTTCTAAATAAGTAGAGAAAAATAATAAGGGAAAGATTAATTAAAAAACAAAAAAGAACAGAGTAGAACAAAAAAAGAACAGATCAAAAGCAAAAAATTAAAAACGAACAAGTTCTGGGATCAGCAGTTAGGGTAATGGCTATGTCACTGGATTGGCATGTAGTTGACCACAGTTTGAGTCCCAGATCCAGTGGCTTAAAACTCACACTGGGAGCATGTGCATGCGCACATGCCCAGGATCCTGAGAGGAGAATGGAGGAAAAGGGATTGTGGTGTGGCCATTCCCCCATGGGGAGTGATTTCTTGCTCTCTGTCTCTTTCTGTCTGTCTGGCGAGCGCATGTGCCCTATGGCAAAAACCTCTCAACAAACAAACAAAACAAACAAACAAAAAAACAAGTTCAAATATATCTGTGATCACAGTAAATCGAAGAAAACTATACTTGAAGGTTAGAATAGGTTTTCAGATTGGATAAAGAACAACAACCAATGCAAGCACATTCAAAATAAAGGAAAGGAAAACGACAAATGCAAGCCAAAAGCAAACAAAACTGGTTTCTGGGTAAAAAAGTATTACAAG